AACACCATGTCTTGCCTGAGTCCGTGCCGTGAAAAGTGGATTCTTGAGAGTAATATTGGATCCTCCTACAAAAGTCAACTCTACTGTGGGAAAAGTTATACGTGTAGTGTTTGGGCTGCATGTGAAGAGGAAAAGCATCAGAATTTAGATGTGGTACCGATTAGACCATCTTACTAGCTACTTAGCTTGTTGAACTACTCTCCATACTTCACATTCTTCTTCTCTAAATTCAAGGTTTCCTATCTTTCTTACATTTTACGTGTTCTGGCCTGCATTAAAAGGCCAACGTGTGCTACTAAATTGGGTAAAAGCATAAGATTACTACACTGATAAGATACCTCAAGTCGTAACAGAACTCGAATGGAAGCGTAGGATCAGCTGGGCGTCGCTTGTCCACGACTTGATCGTCAAACTGTAAAAGTTATAGAATAAATGTCATGCTGCGAAAAACACACGCTTGGAGGAATGGCTATTATTCTAAAAAATCTTAATTTCATATCCCAAAGAAATTGAAAAACTACACATATGAGATGTCTAATGATTTAACAGCACAAGATTTTTGTGGAGGAAGAAAAGTTTGCACATATCTGGTCTGTTCACATGAATTCAGTTAGACCGGGTTTAATGTATGATAAGTCTAAACTAAGAACTTACATTTTTGGTAATAATACCATATGCTGGTTCCTGTAATAGTGAAAATGATGAGCCAGTGTCGAATTGTGCAAAGAAGCGAACACTAAAAGGATCTCCCCCCACTGATACTCCCGTCACGTTCACACCATATGCCGTACTGGTTTTTTATTTACGATCAAAAATGAGAAAAAGAAAAACACGGGAGCTAAAAACAGAATCAGTGTAGATAGTCAATCTGTAATTGACTAGGTACCTTGGTTCAACAGAAATGAATGGAGTCTCATCCTGGTCTGTGTAGCCTTTGTCTCCGAAACTGATTCTTCCGACAACATCAATTACACGCCCGAAACACATTGAGAAGGAGTTTGCGGTGATATTCGCTTTAGCCAATGTGCTCGGAACAGAATAATCTTTCACACCAAGCCCAAGAACACCGTTCACAGCAAGACTTCTCTGGAACAGACCTGTCTGATTCTGACCACAACTGCACCACAAACACGGATTCAGTTTTTTGGCATCACCTGGTTGCCTCATAGGTCATTTCTCAAACAGCAGACAGTTGATGAAGCCGTACATGAGTTTCTAAGAGAGGCAACAAAACCTATTGGTTTTGCTATGCACACAAATAGGTTGCTTGGGGAAATTTCCATGGCGTTAACCGGAAATATAACTTTTTCTGTATAGGTCCAATATCACCCATAACGGTTATTGTTAAGAAAAGACAGAGGAAAAGAGTCATTACTAACCCAAGCGTGACATTAGCTTCGACAGGCTCTAAATCCTCATCCTCTTTGATCAGATGCAATACGTCCTCTAACAATGTCCCCCTGGTGACTGTGTTGGTATTGTAGGGAATCTGATAAGGGCAAATACTTGCAGGGGAAGAACACCCACTCGATCCAAAACAACGCTTGTCACTGCAACTAATGCTTGAACTTGTCGAAGATGCGTTAGGACTGTAAAGATTGAGTGGTATACTCTGTATCAAAGAAAAGAAAACGAAAAAATGTTAAAATCAAAAACATCTCGAAGAAAAAACGTGTTTCTTCTTTCGAGAAGGGAAAGTTACCAGTGGAATCCCCGCATCTTCCAAGTTTCGGATACAAGTGGTACCGCAGTTGCAAGGCAACCAAAACAAATCGCTGCCTGTGTCAAGAGCCACAAAGAACCAAGTAGCTGGTGTTCCTACAGAGACATTGGCGTAGTGCAGACTGAAAACCACATAGATATACAAATCATATTCAACAATCAAAGGAATTCAAGCATCAATATTCAGTACATAAGAAAACAAATTGTTTCGAAACAGAGAAGAAAGAGGCATTACGCTCCAAGAAGCCTGACTGAAAGCGTGAGATTGCCTTCCATGAAAGTAAGAGGGGCATCTTCGTTGTTGGACTCCGCAAGACCTCGACCTCTGATCAACTGATCGCGTTGGGCCAAAACCTTGAAGTACTCCAAACTTCCCTTTTCCGGCATTAAACTGTCAAGACCAAGACTTTGCTTGACTGCATCAGAGAACATGTGGTGAATTTCGAAGCTGAACTTCCCAGAAGCCTCACATCTCTC